TTGTAAAACACCACAAAACGACGTGGTAACACAGATTTTTGAACCAGGCATCATGATGATCGGTGGGCAATAATCGTCTGCGATACTTTTCAACTGTCTTCATCAAAGGCCCACTCTTTCTTAGCATCAAACCTACCGGGCAATTTATACTTAAACTAAAAGATGTTGCTTTTCTTCCATTCTTACCTTATTCGTAGTTGGATTTTTTTTTTTCAAATTCGATTGGATTTAAATTGATAAATATTTAAATTTTAGAAAAAAAATAAATATATTGAAGGTAAAAATTTTATTCTATTTCACAAATGGATTTTTTTCCTGAAAATACTTTTATATTCTACTATTTTTCATATTAATAAAAATATTATATATTCTAATTCTTTACAGAGAATTTTTTATTTTATTATACTATTACAGTATTTATCATTAAATTTTAACATTAAGAAAAACAAAATTTCAAACATGACAAAAACCATTGCAGACCATTCAAATGAATCCATCTCAATCCCATCCTGTTTCAGTCCAGAAAAAAAATCAATAATAAAACCCACACTGTTTTATGTGGATAAAGATCTCTTATCTTGTAGAGAAAAAATGATGCACAAACCGACGTTGAATTGATATTTACCAAGAAACACAAACCATTGTTATTTCACCATAACAGTTACTGGATAAAGCTAAGTCTTTTCCATTCAAGAAAAGTAATTCATTTACAATCACTTATTTTTGTTCATCAAATCAGACAAGTGTTAATGATAAAGGAGCTCATGTCGTTTGAACTTTAATGATCCATTATATACATACAGACCGACAGACAGAGAGCTTTACCAGACCAGATAAGAGAAAACAAAATCCTGCTGATAAAAGTTGTTTGGTTTATAATCACATCAAAAGCAAATACAAGAACCCCAACACACCTATATGTGCGTATGTATAACATCTGTTTAAGGTTTATGTAGATTCCACAGACTTGGGAGATGATGAAGTGACTGAACTACCACTGGCGGGCATGGACTGGGATCGCTTCATCTTCCAGGAAGACGAGTTTGACCGATGAAATTTGCATCGAAAGGAGCCCTGGTGTGTCGTCGGTGAGCACAAACATTGGCCTCCTTTGCCTGTGTTGGCGGCTTCGGAGGCGTTGTTGCCGCCTTTCGGGGAGGTGCTTACGGCGATGATTCCACGTGAATCCATGTAGAAGTGGGGTGGGGGAGGGAGAGGGAGAGGGAGGGAGAGAGAGAGAGAGAGAGGGAGGGAGAGAGAGAGAGAGGGGGAGAGAGAGAGCAATTGAAGGGGCAAACTGGAAGAATCGATTAGGCCATAGTTATATAGGACAAGATGGGTAAAGACCTCAAATGTTGTCCCTCTCAGGGTTGTGTAATAGTTCAAAACTCTTGAAATTTCATCGTCATTTTATAATAATTCAATAAAAAAATAAAAACTGTTTTACAATAGTTTGATTAATTTAGTGATCATTTTGTAACTTGTGAAATTTTAATAGCTAAAATAATCATTTGAATAAAGTGCAATGACCCTGTTGTATATTTAACCTTCTCTTATTTATCTCTCCTTGTATTTTCATCTTAATTCTTAAGCATGATATGAGAATATCGGATACAAGGGTTAGTTACCGGTTACCCCCTCTACGATTAGATATTCATTTTTGAGGACCAAATGGGAAAGGGACGCATGGCGTAGTGAACAAGCAGATGGGGTTCGGATTCATCTCTAACACCAAAAGATCTCATCCTCATCCACATCCCTTTCACCTCGACAAAACCCTACTTTGGTCGTTCTTCATAATCAAATATTTTGATATTAGATAGTAAAAAATATTAAAATTGAATTTGAATCGAAATGGGTCCAAACTTTGAAAGTAAGCTAACGTTGTATACTTATAACAAATAAGTCATTTTTCTTAAAACATTACAATTTAGTCGTCCAATTAAAATATTTAGGAAAAAGGGTACGCGAAACCATATACTTTTAAAATAAATTAATGTATCATATTATTTTTCTTTAAATGTGCTCTTTAACTAAAAAAAATTTTCAATGTGGTCGGAGGCGAAGTTCTGTTGGGCCAAAAAGCCCCAACTATTGTAAAATTTTATATATTCGATTGATTTTAAAAATAAGCATTCAATTAGATTTTAAAAATATAAAGATTTATTAAATATTTAATAAAGCAAGTATGAGCCGAACTAAAGAATGAAATCTCATATTCTCAATTTTTTGGTTTAATAATAACTTAGGTTAGTGTAAGTTTAAATATTACACAAATTAATTATTATCTTATGAATTTTAAGTTTAAATACAAATAAGTCATTGTACTTTTTCTTAAAAACTTTATTATTTCGCCCTAACAATATTTAATCATGACTCCGTCCCTGAATGTACCTTTTGACCAACGTTTTCCGTCATAGACAATGCTTCGTTAATTCTTGCTAATGTGGATGCTTTCTCAAAATATTATGAAGGGAATACTGTTTGTGGCTGTTTGTAAAGATGGAAATAATCAATTTCCGGTTGCATGAGTAGTTGAAGGGGAAGGAAAATAATCATGGAGATGGTTTTGAATAAACTTATGGTTGACTTAAGCATTCTAACGGTGAAGACTTATACTAATGTTGGTTAATGATATAAAACGTTAGTTAAAGGTTACATTAAATTTTATTTTTCAATTGAAGATTACATTAAGAGAAAAAAATAGTACGTGAGCGACATTATTTCTTTCTTTCAAATACAGAGGCTTGTACATCCTTTTACTAAATATTTATTATGAACAAATTATTTTCTATTAAATAAATAGTAATCAGTTATCCATAGACAAGATCTCAGACGACGGAACTCGAAAGTCCAAACAGGGGAAACTTGTAAAATCGAAATTTTGAATAATCGTTGTACATGTTGAAGCTTGTTTCGATGCCATTATGCAGGAATGTGAGATATATGCTAATGAAAATGGTTTGGCTTCCCTTGAAACACGTTGTCAGTGAACTCTTCCACGGAATAGGTAAATAGTTAGATTATTTTGAAATTCATATAGATAAAAATATATATAAATTAGGATAATAGTGACTACATATATCACTGCACGCTAATCTATGATTAATAAATTCAGTCAGTTTCAGACAACTGAAGCTTCTTACCCTACGCCTATGGATAGCTTATAGAAACCAAGGAAAAAAAAAGAAATGGTATATTGTATAATGTGGGGATAAAGCCTTGCACAATGACAAGTTTGTGTTCTGTCTTTTAAAGCATATGGAAATCACCATTCGAGGCCCCTCAAAAACAGAGATTTTTTGGTCATCTTGTGCTCTTTGTCTCTTTGTACCATCACATGCATGGGTCAGCCCCCCCCCCCCCCCCAATCCCCACAACACACCCCAAGAACACAAGCCCAGAAAGGAAAAAAGGTTCGACTTTGCAAAAACACCAAAGCAGTGACAAAACAATTGCAAACAAAACATTTCTGCAAAGTAAAAAAAAAACCTAAGAATTCCAGTTGTCAATAGCACGCTTATGTCTTGCTAGGGTTTTTTTTAGAGAGGCTAAGATCACCATGAAGGCGAAGTGCATGGAGAGCCCGATGAAGACGATGAAAGACCATTATTACAATTCGGCTCACTAGCTGAAGTAGCTAAAGACCCAACATCTCTTAGGGGATAGAACAAGCCTGTGCCGGAAGCTTCTTCATCGGACTCAACGGAGGTGTGATCGGAGGAGGTGAACAGATTCCAAAACAACCCTTCTCTTCATCTCCCGATGAACCACCGTTCTCTAAACGCGAAGGCGATGTATCCAGCGTCTCGAATGGAGTATCCGGTGCAGCATCGTTAACGTACATTGGATTCGATATGTAAACCAATTCCTCAGCATTGTTAGGTGAAGCTGCAAAGGAAGATGATGGAGATGTGGGATACAGTATCCCAATCCGATGAGGCCTTGTGTTCGATTCTCCGCCGTGGAGTTCGACGACGTGACGAAGAGAAGCGAATTTGTTGTCTTTTTGAACACTTTCAGGACGTGTTATTGCAGTTGCAGGAAAGAGGAAGTCCATAGGTGCATGAAGAACTCCTTGTGCATAGAATCTACTGAGTGGACTGGTTGTTGATTCGGTAACGGTGGGGGTGGCGGGGGACGTTGCGGTGTCAGCGGTGGGGTGTTTGAGCTGACTGCGGCTTCGGAGTAGGAGGGAGCAGTAGAGCTCGGCCAGCAACACAAGGATTAGAGCTTAAACAATGGCGAGGGTGACCACCATTACTAGCGTTGCACCCATTATTACTTTGGATGCCCCTGTATGTGTTGATGGGAGTGAAAGAGGGACAGTAATTAAAAGGTAATAAAAGCTTTATTTTGGAGGGAAACGAGGAGTCCTTTAACGCAGTCAAGGAAATAGGATGGTCAAATTGTATCATTGGCCCCTGTATCATACATATATTATAAATTTATTTTTTTAACCATAAATGGCCCATCTATCCGTTTAATTGTCTATGTATAAGCTAATTCCATCAAGCACGGGTAGGATCATAAAGACTATAATATTAATCCTTGATTAAACTGAGCTAACCTAATTTTGGTCGACTCAAGCCTCATAATTTATATACATAAGGACTAATAACAAACTTTAACCAAAGTAGATTTGATGGAATCTTGGTGAGACTTGGGACCTTGGGAATAAAAATGAAGTCTTTTTTGAGATGGCCAATATGGTCATTTCAGTAACTGCAACATAAGCTTGATGATGCATCATCGGGACTTTTCTCCGGCTACAAAGGACTAAAAACAGTTAAAAAGACCTGCAAAGTGTCACGGTCGAAACCAATACTTCAGCCATCAGTGGATGACAGGTAATATCATAAGAGAAAGTGTTAAATATAGGATAAATTACATAACTGATCATTAATATTTAGGTAAGAATGCTCTTACCATATTATATAAGCTAAAATATGAAAATAAAGGAAGTTTTTAGATTGACGCAATGCACTCAAATTGATTAGATAAAAAAAGAAAGAAAGAATGATTCAGTGTGGATTAAACTAGAGCTCTATCTGTCTTTCATTGCAGCAAAGTGAGCTGCTAAATCATCATAATCTGGTAACTTGGGATGCACATGCTGAGCCGCGTTAGACCTATCAGGCTGAAAGGAGGCAGCACGAGCAATCACCTTGGTTCCCTCTGATTCTGCAGTTTGTGCAGGAGGGAGAGATACTGATCGGGCTGGACAGGAAACGGTCTCGGGCATATCATCGGATCTATCCCTGCTTGCTTTCTGAGGAGCTTCACAATCACCCGCATTGCTTCCCCTACGATGTGCATGACGACTTTTAGACTTTCTTCTTATCATTCCCTCTGCGTCCGACGGTGGCTTCTTACTGTAATGTATCAACAGATTGTCAATTATCCTTTCCTCCTCGTCATCTTTATGCTGCTCATCATCAAATAAAAGTTGCAGACCTCGTCTTGAGTCCTCCTTTCTCCTGCTTCTTGGTCTTCTGCTCCTTGCAGATTCAACATCTTCGGCATTATCGACTTCAGTATGACTGGAAGATGTTTTATGTCGCCTTCTAGATGATCTTAGTCTTGGTATAGGAACATCACTTCCATGATGATTATAGTAGTAATCATGATCACGTCCATGACTATTCATAGAAGGAGGTGGAATTACCTGACCCTCTTTATCAGGCTGATATAACCCTTCTTGGTACTTATCAGTCCTATTAACCGCATACTTGTCATGAGTTGATCGATCAACAGAGACCCCATTGCTGCCAGAAGCAGTAAGTGAAGACCCCACATCGGCATCGTCATGCCTGCGATCCTTCGGTTTGGTATTGGGTTTAACATAAGGAGGGGGGATGCTACTATTGAAGTGGGACTTCCTCTTGGGTTCATCTTCCTCGTGAGTTTTTCTTGTTGAATTTGGAAAACCATCACGATTCTTTGACCAAGGATCTGCATAACTAGGACTTTGCTCTGGCTTTCTCTCGGGTAGAACATCTTGATTATATCTTCTAGGTGTACCATTCTGCCTACCATCTTGTAGTTTGGCTCCACCATCAGCTCTTTCCATTATTTTCCCATGTGAAGAACTGCTTAATCTTGCTGTTTTCAAGGCAACATCATCCTTCCCGTTCCAACAGTCAAGGTTACCAGCAGATACTTCTTGTTTTTTCCGTAACTGAATGTCTTGAGTCTCCTTCCTTGCAGTAGCTTGCTCCTTACCATGATGCGGATGATACTCACCAACAACGAATTCCTGTTTAGGTGGAAGGACGATATCATCCCTTTTTGAGGCATCCTCCTCCTTGGAGTTGCCCAATCTGTGCCCGGCTTTACCCAGTTCGAGTTTTTCTTTAGTTGGAACTTTAAATTTTTCCTCTCGTGGATCAGCTCTTATTCCACCGTTTGATTTATGATTATGACCACCGACAGGGAAAAAGCCATGATTTTTAGGCAGGTCCTGAATTACAATGCCAAAGATCAACAGTTTCACTGTGAGGACACCGTATGGATAAGCGCAATGAGAATAACTAAAAAAATAAAGATCAAACACAAGAAGCATACCGATGGAATCACATTAGGTTTAGACATTCTTCGCTTGAAAGCTTCGGAGTCCCAATTTATGGAAAACTCTGATGCTATATCATGCATCACTTTGACTTTCTTCTCCATTGCAAAAGAATTTGAAGCTGAATTCTCGACAAGCTATCATCAAATTTTCTAACATTGGTTAAAGAAAAGAACTGACAACCGTAGAATAATCTCTTTCTGAAACAGATAAACGGAAATTACCTGTTTATTGACAAATAATTCCAGAGAATTTCCATATCTTTCATGAAATATTTGCCTAAGATCACGCAACTCTGGCAAATCGGAGAATCTTGCAGCGGCAAACATTAGAGATGAGACAGCTTCCCGGCAATCTTCAGGGCAATCTCTGTGAATTAATTGAAGAAAATAAGCAACTTTCTCTTCTTGTCATTAGCAAGATATAAATGTGTTATATACTCAACAACAAATCCAACCGAGCATCAAAAGTAAGTACAACAGCCAATTGATACAATAAAAGGAGGAAAAATGAGGAAGTGATCCAGAAAGAAGAATGACAACTAATTCTTCCACTTAACATTCCCCTTGTAATTACCATCCACAACAACCGCACGCTAAAAGTATATGTAACTTGTAACATGAGGATACCATTAGAGGTTGCATCGAGTCTCCTTAGGATATTTTTTAAGATTAGTTAACATACAATATTTTGTAGTAACATTGTATTAAACACGAGTAGACAACCTTATTAATCTTCAGCGTTATTGAATGCTAATCTTATTCAGATTTCTTCCTTTTCAATTTCATCCTCATTCATTTTAAAAAATATAAACATAAATTTTACCAAAAATGAATAAACAATACAGCTTCACATACCTCAATTTTTGCAGAAGTGAAACATGCTTCGACACGAAATCACAGCAATCTTCGACAAAATCGTAGCAAGATGAAAGAACCAATTCAACAATATATCCTTCTACCTGTTTAAACCTCGCAAAAAGTTAGCACAAAAATCACTTCTAATTTTACGTCCACAGTATATATATATATTACTTCAAAACAAAATTTAACAATGTTCAAATATTCAAAAAAGTCTGAACAAAAATACATAAGAAAACATGAAACCTTAGTCTTCTGCTAATCCTATTATCATTCTAGATTTTTTTTCTCAATTTTAGAAAGAACGAAAAACACAGTTGACTAAAAGGATTAAAAATAGAAATAACAATTTTAAAATGCAATTACCCTGCCATAAGCATTCATATCGAGGCCATTAGCAAGCAGATCGGCTACATCTTTCTTCAAAAACTTAAGCGTCGCAATCTTCTTCCTCCTAATCACCTCGATCCGACTCTTTATCAGTTTTATCAATGACTTACTGCAAGGAAACAAAGAAAGAGAAAAAATTATCATAAATTTGATTTTCCAGAAAAATGAGCAAAGAAGCAGTGCATTTATTCGAAGAGAAGATAAAAACCATTTGGAGGCAAAACCACGGCCTAAGATCCCGTCCAGCATTTCCGATCACTTATTCAACTCAGCAGAACGATTCAACTCAGCTAACTAAAAAACGAGGCTGTAAACTCCGAATGCAAGTCAGTAAAACGAGAGATCTGCCATTAAAGAAGATGAGAAAAGGCTCTTTGCTTAAAGCTTTATCCAGTGCCGTTTCTCAGACAATTTTACTTCTTTTTTTAAGAAACACTCATTTACAGGTTTATTTCTTCCAGCAGAGAGTTAAAACATGGCGCCATGTTGATGTTACGATCATACCCTTGCTGTCTCCATTTAATGACTACGACTCTCAACCGGTCGATCATTTAAACGTTGGGAGGGTATTCTAGGGAACTACTATGTATTTGATTCAGTGCGGATAAAGGGAAAGGTTGGATAGATCCTGATCGTTGATGACGGCAGTTGGTGGCGTAGATGAACGGTGTGATGGGAGTGTTTTCTTTATCTCGCAGGTAAGGGGAATCGTGATTAGGGGGAATCTGATGAGCTGGATCGCATAATTAAAGCTAATTAATTAACGACGATGAATATTTTTGGGGACTTTTTAGACAAAATTTCCCAATTTGTCAGTATACAGTGGGAAATTGAACAAATTTTTTTAGATTACAGTCTTTTTTTTTAAATTGAAAAAGAACAATCCTTTTTCTCAAAATAAGGAAGAGACGGTGTTTGTTTTTGTAGAGGTAAAATGTATGTAGTCTGCGGATCAAATCTGTAGGCATCTGCAGCAGAAGAGGTAGAACAAAAGTCTGCAGTCTGTAAGAAGAAGACTGTTTGTTTTTTAATGTATGCAGACTGCTAAAATAAACTGAAATATAAATAAACTGATTTTTTAAACTTAAAAGAGTTTTACAATACTGATATTTAAATAATTTTAATTTTACAATACTGAAATTTAAATAATTCATACAACTACAATAATAAATTTTTTAGAAAAACAAACACCACCTTATTAATTCTATTATAAGTCTCACATAATCACATGTATTATTAGTTTTATAGAATAAAATTTATAAATGATCATTAAATTATATGATTTTATTTAAATATGCAATTATGTAATTCTTTTAATTTTTTTAAATATATATTCATAATTTATTTTTATAATTATATGTGTTGAGTTAATCGATCGATGAAATCCAAGAGGGGGTGAATTGACAATTAAAATTTTGGTGAAGCTTTTGCAGAAAATTGAAAATATTTTCACATCGATTTAAAGTGGTTCGACTTTCTCAACCAAAGTCTACGTCCACTACCTTAGCTATCCACACTAAGGATTTTCCAACAAATTCACTAATTTGTTATTTCTTTTAAGGCCAAAGAGATAACCTTACAACTCTCTCAAGAATATACCCAAATTCTTGAGAATACTCTTTCTCAAAGAGAAGATTACAAATTTGCAAACTTACAAGGAAATCCTCAACAAAGAAAAGAACACTAAAAAATGAATACGATTGAGTACAAGTAGTGTTCTTGAAAGCAAAATGAATATTGAATGAAAAATAGGCTTGAAATGCTCAAACTTGAGGTTTGATGCTTTCTCTTTGATTCTCTCTTGATTCTTGTTTCTTGTGTTTTCTTGTTGTTGATCAATGACTTCTAAGCTTGTTTAAATACTCCTTCAACTGATTCTGAACGTTGGGGATGATTAGTGGAGTCAATAGAGCCGTTTAAGTGTGAAAACAATTAATAAAATCAGTTGGGAGCGTTAGTGCATCGATGCATACACAAGGTGCATCGGTGCATCAAGTGTAAAATTCAAATATTTTGACCGTTGGACCCTTAGTGCATCGGTGCACTAAGAGTGCATCGATGCATGAAGTGCATTCGATGTTTCAAAATAGCCTGAGTGCATCGATGCATGTCTTGTGCATCGATGTGTTTTCATAAAAATCTGAGTGCATCGATGCATGGTGTGTGCATCGATGCATAAAATGCATTCGATGTTCAATTTATTCATTGGTGCATCGATGCATGGATTGGTGCATCGGTGCATTCCTTTGAAAAATTGATTTTAGGCTTGATTTTGGTTCAAAAGATTTTGTGAAAATTGTTTCAAAAATATATTAAGTATAAAACACAATTTTACACATTTAGTAAGGTTTGAAATTGATCTTGAAAGACTTGGAGTAATAATTTGATATTCGATTAATTGAATCGAATATATATAAAAATCTTTTGTAAAATCTTAAAATTCATTTATACTTAGTTTGTTATATCGAAACATCAAAATGTTTTCAATAATCTCCCCTTTTTTGATATAACAAAACATTTGAGTAATTTTAAGATTTGAAAATTATTTTTAAAATCAATTTTGAAAAATTACTCCCCCTTACTATAACACATCTTCTCCCCCTTTTTGTTAAATAAAAAAGATGCAAAAACGAATTTTATTAAGAATTTGAAAAACTTAGCCAATTGATTCATTAATTTTAAAGTTTAAGCTGCTAAGATCACAATCAGAAGAGAGATTAGCCATTAGTTTTCATAAACAATATTCATAAACATGTAATGGATAATTGGTCATATATGTCGAATGATGCAAAATTAAGTATAAATATCAAAAAGAAAATTCAAACCAAACATATATATATTAAGATTTAACATCCAAAGTCACCAAAATATAAATCCAAAACATTCAATCATCCAACAATCAAAGGAAAACAATCCCAAAAGCATTCAAAATGTTTTAACAAGAAAAGTTCTAAGTTGATCCAAAAACAAAAGCAAAGCAATGTCTACTCGTCCATAGAGGGATCGAGAGGAGGAGGAAATCGTGCTTGCATCTCAAGAGAAAGAGCATCCATATGTGCAAGCATATGCCATTGAAACTCCATTTGTTGAGCTTCCAAAATGTCTAAGCGATGATTCACCGCTTCGTTGTTAGCAGTCAAATAGGATTGATGGAAGCAAACCGTAAATCAAATGTCTCCAAAAACGAACGAAAATATGGAAACACTTGATCCTCTTGTGATGCCGGTGCATTGTCGGGATCGTCAATGTCTTGAAATAATCCTTGAAGTTCGGGATCATCATCTGCAGCCGGAGGAGGAGGAGGAGAACGAGAATAGCTAGGAGCAGCTCGAGAAGAACTAGCTCCCGGAGTTTGCTTAGAAGGACGAAAGACCCATTGGCCAGTTTCCTCGTCCTGTTTCCAATCAGTTTTCTTTAATGAGGTGAGATTGATTTGGTTTTGGAGAGGAATGAGATTGTCAAGAGAGACGTTTAGACTGAGTTTGATAAAAATGTTACTAAGAAGACATCCATAAACTAATGTTTCGACATGTTTTGAAGGAACAATGTTTATGATATCCACTAGCTGACTAAATATAATGTGTGGTAAATTTATTTTGTTCTTATTCTTGATACAGTGTATCCACCATAAATCCCTAATACGAAGAGTAGAGTACCTACCTCCGGATGGTCTAAACCACCAAGAGATCATCAAATGAAGAAAACGATCGTGATGAGATCATAGAGTACTAACACTAGCATTTGGAACATACGAATATTCCACAGTTTCATTCTCATTATAAAGACCATCGTCATCTAGCCCAAAATACGAAGTTATAGTCTCGGAGTCAATATTAATATATTGTCCTAAAAGGTAGGATCTTATTGCTATAGTTCCACATTGAGTCTGGTTTTGAATACATACCGTATTACAGTAGAAAATGCGGACTAACTGATGATAGACAATAGGTTTTAGGTGAAACATTTTATCAAACTTCCATGGTTTGAGAATCGGAAGGTATTCAAAGTCAATATCAATCATGGCTTGAACAGAAGAAATATGCTCTTCCCGGATTCTATATGATTGGAAAGAATTTGTACCTATGGTACAATTTGTCTCTATGACGTTCATGAATATTAAAACAGGATCTATAAGACTATTAGGTGGAGGAGGAACATGATTAGAAGGTCGGTTTGAACGACTCGATGGAGTCCTAGGATGTTTTGGGTTTGACATGATTAAGAAATCGGAATAATAATGTAACCTGCAATTTGAAAAACATATATATGCAATTTAATCAATCCCAAAACTCAATTGAGTCCACAATAATCCAAGGTTCTCTAAACTAAATCCTAATGGGCAAGGTTTTGAAAACTATTTGAAAATAATTTTTTTTAAAATAATATGTATAGTTTTCATGAAAAACAACATAATTGAGTCAAAAACATCTAAATAAATCAAAATATTTTCGATTTTTTTTTTGAAATATTGTGTGTTTTTGACGAAATTTGTTGTAAAATCTAGTTTCTAATCACCAAACAATTAATGCCCGATATAATGTTCATCCTAGAACTAATATAAACTAGTTCTAAAATCAAAATATGATAAAATAAAGGTTTTTTAGAAAAATACCTTGAAAATTTGGATTGATGAGAATGAGAAGTTGTTTTGCTCGATTTAATGATAGTAGCAGGATATGGAGATGAAAAGCTCGAAGAATCCGGCAATTTCTTGTTGATTTTGAGCAAAAGGAGAATTTAGAGAGGGAGAAAGGCGTACGATTGATGAGAGTTTAGTTTTAGGGTTTGAAACAAATAAGAAAATAAGCCTTTTAAACCCAAAACCCGACGGATGCATCGATGCATGGCTTTGTGCATCGATGTACATTCAAGGAGTGCATCAGTGCATCTTCATGATGTATCGATGCAAGTTCAAAGGGATGCATCGATGCATTGTTAAGTGTATCGATGCATTAAGCACAAAAATGTCTAAAATCCGTTTTAAACACTCAAAATGCTAAATTAATTAGCTCTAGTGGTATTGGCAACTCATATATTGAAAATTAATCATGTTCAATCAATCAAATTAATCCTTAAACTACATTTGAACTTAAAGTTAATTTTCACCAAAGAACATAAACTCCCCCTAACTAATAGCAAAGAATGTAATAAAAAATTATTATTATAAGCATTTTTCATTTATTCTTAAAAGTGCTAAAAATAATTTAAACACTAAGCAAAGATACGTCAGTTAAACCTAATTCTCTTCTAAGTGTCCAAAATCTTTCTCTGTCTAAAGGTTTTGTAAAGATATCCGCTAATTGGTGCAAAGTATCAACAAATTCTAGAACTACATCTTCCTTAGTGACATGATCTCTAATGAAGTGATGTCTTATTTCAATGTGTTTAGTTATAGAGTGTTGGATGGGATTTTTAGTGAGACAAATAGCACTAGTATTGTCACACTTGAT